GAGGCCTCTGAATATTTAAACTGTATAGTTTTAAAAACAAAATTGACACAATTTTCCTGTTAAGAAATACTGAAAACCAGTGCTTAGTAAATGCATTAATGGAGCTTCTTGACAAATCACCTGTTAAATTTTATCTGACAGCTTGTCATATGATAATTATAAGTAATTGTAATATACGACTATCATAATGCATGCAACAAAAAAATAGGAAAGTAATTAGAGTATATCCTTTGTTTTCCTCCTTCACTTCTTGCTCACATGAAAAAAAAAAAAATGCCACAGTGTTTCACTTGGGTTGGGATAGCGCCAGTGGTTAATGGAATGACCCACTCTTCTAAAGAATTTAATGGGAATATCCATTTGTCACAGTTGCATGCTGTAATCTCCAGTAGCTGAGCCAATGGAAAACAGCATTGTAGTATAATGTCCTCTCCACAGTACAGGTGAGGGTGAAATGTGACAACTGAGCTGAGAGCCAAAGAAAGGAGAGGCCTAGTTTTTCTTTTTCTTTTCTTTTCTTTCTTTCTTTTCTTTTATTTCTTCTTTTTTTTTTTTTTTTTTTTTTTTTTGAGAAGGATAGGGATTTTGTTTAAGATGTTGCCAGATGAGAGACAAAGTGCATTTTTCATATCCAGAAAAGTGTGGATGTTTCCATAGTTCTGCTCAACAAAACCCCCAATCACTCCACTGTGTACTGGAATTCCTTTCCATGTAGATCAGAAAGGTCATGATATGCTGTGGCCATTTCTTGGAGCTGGATTTGAACTTTCAGGGCTGAGTAATCAGAACATACTGCGCAATGTGGAACCCTGTAAGTAGAATCCACAGCACTATTCCAGTGAGTTACTGTTTTGCATTCTCCTTTGTAGTGTAGGTAGAATTATATCCACAGGTATAGGAATGTATCTTCTGTTGCCAAGTTAAGCTTAAGTATTGTTTAGTTTAGGCTCTCATATTTTTCTAATCTTTCTTCATGCTGCCTCTGTGATAGGAGAGCACAGGCAGCTAGCAGAATGTTGCTACAGGAATTCAATCTAGGAATTTCTAACATTTTAACTTGTAGAGGTGAATGTTTGAGGATTAAAACCATTCATTATTATTTCATTCTGCTCTTAGCAACAAGTTAATAAAGAATGTTAGACACTGCCTAGCACCTGTAGGAATGGTCTGATATTAGCTTTGCTGCTTATAAAGCTACTCATGTGTCATTTGGATCTATTCCCTATTTCTCTCTTCTAGCTGAATTTCATAAAACACACACACACACACACACACACACACACACACATACACACACTCCTTTCAAGGAAAATATTTATTGTATTAACAAAAATTTATTGTATCTTTTGGCTTAAAATTTTTCATCATTACAGAAATAAAAGAAGTTTGGACTTGAAAAGTTATAGGTGCAAAATTCTATCTTGGCTACTGTCAAGCTCTCAGAATGGTTAAGTTCTGTATCTTATTTGATCTTGTTTCCCCACTTAAACTCAGAAACTAATAATATTCAGCCAGAAAGGCAAAGGTTACAGTTGGAGATAGTGGCTTTGAGACTTCTCCTTTAATGACTAGCCAAATGATCAAAGCAATTCTTTCCCACTTTTCTTCCATTGAGAAAAAAAAAAAGCCTATTTGTAATCACTATATTCATGAACCTTTGGAAAGGTCATCATGTCTTTTGAAAACCAGTGGGAGCTGACTGTGGTGGCATAGTCTTATAATCTTAGCACCAGGGAAGAGGAGGCAGGAGGATCAAGAGTTCAAGGTCACTGTTGGCTACAAAAGAGTCTTTTTCTAGGACACCCTACCCACTCAAGCAAAACAATGTGATGTGTTGGCATGCTAATTACATAATACAAGGGGACAATTGTTTCTGCTATTTTGATTATTTTAAAACTTCTTTTACTATGCTTCCTGATAAATGAAAATACCATCTCACCAGTACTTCTAGGAACAAACTTCCTTGGATGGAGTCCAAAACATACTCATAGTTACCCTAGCTGAATTCTGCACTCCAGGGGGGATGTATCACAGCAAAGCTCCAGTGTGCCATTCTTCGAAGAATGTCAGGGCTGGAAGTGTATTAAGACAGCCCAGCTCTATTGCTTCATTTTCTTTGTGTAAACAGCTATCATGTTAAAACAGTCTAATAGTTTATCTGACCCAGAACTTAAAGGTGACTATGGACATTTATAGGACAAGGGAAAGGAGTCAATGACACCTGGGTTTTACTCTACCTCTGCCATAGACACCTTGTGTAACTTTATAGGCTTAGACATGAAGTTTTCTTATCTGTAACAATGAAACTAGCCAGAAACATTCTGCTAAAATATCCAGAAAGCAAAGCATCCCAGCTGTTCCATGAGATGCTGTAGCATCAGCTGCTGTGTGCATTTGCTACCATTGTGGTGATTTGTGTGTGCCTGGCTGGAGTCTCACTTCTACTTGAATGTGTGGAGATGTCTTGTTTCTCTGCTTTTCCTATCTTTCCTTCCTCAGCAGATTTACTCTGAATTTTTCTAAGTTTCTTTTGTATAATAACAGCTGAGACTAGATGCCACTATATCCCTACACACACACACACACACACACACACACACACACACTTGGTTATAATTGGGACTTGAACATTTATGACCTTCTGGTGTTGAAAAACTTGGGCTTGTCATTTGTTCCTACTGTGATCTAGTTTGCTCACCTTGGCAACAGACTGCACCGAATTCTCTGGCTAGTCTAACTTGCTACTAGTGTGGAGAGAGAAAACTTTCAAGAGTGTGTACCCACAGAATAGTCAGGCTTCATTGCTGGGCTCTTCTTAGCAAGGTAAGATGTGGAGGCAGAAGGTATCTTGTCTTTCCAGTACCCAGCTCTAGAGGAAAGTGGGGCCAGCATTCATGAGAGAGGATGTGGCAATGACGAAGCCAACCTGAAGTTTCTATGTTGATTAGAGTGGTTTATCAAGAAGGTCATATTTGTAGACTGATTCTGAGGGCATAAAGAACAATAAGTTGTTTGTGATACCTGCTTAAGCTTTCACCTTGTTGCATCAAAAACTTGGTTAAACATGGCTTGGATCTTCCACGGTAATAGATTTCTTCCTGGTTCTCACTGTAAGACTAACCAGTCAAAGAGGAGGGAAAGGAGGGGGAGGGGGAAATAAGGGAGAGTTAGGCAAGGATGTTTCTTGACTCCTAACTTGTTGAGGAACTAAACTACACCTCCCAAGACCCTTTCCAAAGGATATACCTTCTTTTTGCAGTATGTAGCTTTCAGAGGACTACTGACCATCCATTCAGAAATTTTCAAGAGCATGGCATGCAGAGGATTGAAGCAAATATTTTGGCAACTAGAGACAACAATTAGGATGCTGGATACTGGACCACTAGTTTGCTTCTAAAAGGATCTGCTTACCTTTGCTCCTTCCAAGACTGGAGTCTGCAGATACAAGTGTTGTTTGCATTGGCTGGCCTGAACACAGAACGAGCAGTGGAGGTGGGTTGAAGGCCCAGGTTTCGCTTCACTTGACCTTTCTCATGGTGTTCTTAATGAATTTTGATGGGCCAGTTGCCAATGGAGGCTTCCAGATGCTGACTTCCCCCACGTGCTGGAGATCGTATGAGTAGGGAAGAAGGGGAAAACGCTTCTTTTACATAGCAATCCGTAACAGGCACCTTACCCACACATGTCCAACAACTGGTGCCTGTTGGGAGAGATTTTATGTCTTTCTGCAGAGCAGTTCTTGCTAACATTAAGAGCAAGTAGCAGAAAGCACTCAGAGTTCTCACACCAAGATTTGGGTTTAGTACTTCCCTGCCTTCCTCTCTGCCTCCAAAGTGGATCCTACAAACATCCAGGAAGGAGGCTGCCAAGGTGAACTGGGATAGACTCAACTGAGTCTCATCAATGAATGTCCCTTGTATTATTCAACTGCTTTGACTATGGTGCAACCAGCCCAGCCTTTCTTTCTCCTGTGATTCAGGAAGCAGAGCAGGAAGCGCCTGGGTGTGACTGCACAGGGATGAGTTGAGTGAATCTGAGAGGGTCCTTTCTGGCTGGGTGGATGGATGGATGCTGGGAGGTGACGTCACCCAGCCCCCCTCCTCTCTTCTCTCTTATTCTCTCTCGTGTGCTTGTTTGTGCACGCGCACGCGCTGTGTGTGTGTGTGTGTGTGTGTGTGTGTGTGTGCACGCTCCCCTTCGCCCAGCTCTCCAGCCTGTTTCCTTGCTCAAACCTCTGGCCCTCAGTGAGTCGGTGGTCTAGCTTGAGGGTTAGCCAGCGGGCGCGGCGGGCTGGCTCTCCCCGCCCGGGACGCACCCACTCACTCTCCTCTCCGGCACAGACTACAGGCACACACAATCCCCAAGCTCTGGGCACAGCGATTCTATGGGATCTCCAGCAGTTATGAGGATTTTAGAAATCACCCAGACAAGGAAACAAAGACAGAAGCCTAGAAAATTACTTTCCTGAGCTCCCTCATTTCATTTCCCCACCAAGACACGTTGCCTGCAACTGTGACCACCACGTTCCCGCCAGGTTTAAGGTGTGGGCCGGCCACCTTGCCCCGACTCGAGCTGTGCAGCCTGGACCCCTCTCCGGTGCCACGGGCCCCTCTAGTTCTCTCCCCTCACCCCTGCGGGTCTTAGTGTGGGGTTATCTCACTCGCGCTTCACTTTTGGGGGGAAGAAGGCAAGAGCCGGAGGGAGGCGCTGAGGGGGGCAGCGGAGTTGCTATTTGTGGCCAAAGAATCTGCTTTAAAAGCAGCAGCAGCAGCAGGAAGGAGGAAACAGGAGAGGCGGAGGGAGGAGGCGAGAGGCGGCCGGACCCCCCAGCCGCTCGCTGGAGCAGCGGCGCTCGAGGAGGAGGAGAAGAGCGCGGAGCAGCGCGGAGGATCGGGAGGAGCGTGGAGCAGCGGGAGGAGCGGGAGCAGCGGCGAGCGCCGGGGCCGAGGACGCCGCTCTGGCGAAGGGAGGCGGGGCGCTTGGCTGCGGGGACGGGACTCCCGCGGACTCGCCACTTGCGGCTGCCGCTCGGGCTGGGCGGCGACGGCTGCGGGACTGAAGGGCCGCCCGGAGGCGGCGCGGCCTCGGAGGGCTGGAGCGCAGTGCCGGTGGCGGCGCGGGCGGTGGCTGCCCCGAGCCGACGTGAGCAGGTAAGCAATCCTGGTCTTGGAGCCCTGAGCCCGCCTAGCCCGGGACCGCGGTGCGCCCGGAGCTACTCTGCTCCGCTCAGTACCCCGGCACAGCTAGGGGTCGGCGACCTGCTCCAGGCGGCAGCGGCCAGTTCTGGAGGGCGATTTTGGGTTCTTTGCTCTGAATTGGTGCTGGAGAAGGAAAAATAGGAGACACCCGAGGGTCCGCGGCTGCCCACGGGAGGGGGTTATTTCGGAGCGCTTTCCGTGACCTGGTCGGAGCTCTAGTTCTGCTGCGGGGATCTGGTGTCCTCTCACAGACTCGTTCCGCTGCGAAGGAAACGCGTAATTTATTTTGAAGAGTTGAAGTAGTAGGAAACAATTAAAAAAGAAAGCTACCAACCAAAGATCCTTTGCTTTCCAACACGTTGACTGTAGCTTTTTACACAGACATGTTAAAAACAACAACAAAAACTTGCCCTGCTTCTTTCTCCGCGATGTTGATTTTATTTTAAATCTTTAACAAGTGAAGTTTGGTTTTGTGCCGCTTAGATATTTTTTGAACAGTAAGAATGAGATTGGTATTCTTTAATCGTGCGGTCTAAATTACAAATAGTAGTGCCATTCTTCAAAACCCTGACTATCACAATCCACTTGTGTTGTCTCCAGTTCACCTCCCAGTGCTCTACTTGCCTAGCATCTCTTGTTGCCTGGGTTTCTTAGACTGGATTATGTCCCCCAACCTCATCTACAATCTACACCTTAAATGCCCTAGAAGATTCCCGAGGGATCGCTGCCCCTGTCTTTCTTCTTAATTTTTTTTTTTTTGTTGTTGTTGTTTTCCTCTTATGTCCTCCGATATTCAATGTTAGTGAACCAAGAGGCAGCAGCTCGCACATTTTAAGGCTTTTAGTAACTAATAACTGCTTAGGAGTTCACAAATGGAGACTTTGGTGTATTCTTTATGCCAGTCTGTAGCACACCTATTTACACTTCCTTCACCCAAAGGTACTTCTTACGGTTTGGCTGTTTCTCTGTTTCAGAGTGCACAAGCCAAGGTCTCATCTTAATGTAAATCCAGGATGATATACCCAAACTCAAAACATTCTGATTTAAACCAATCTTTAGATGATGATCCCATTGTGAAAGCACTGTTAATGTTCATGGAAAAGCTATGGAGGCATTATACTCCTTTTGACATATCTTCTTCTCTATGCCCCCGATAGACATCGTGGCAAAGAGGAAACACATTTCCCATTCTGTGTCCAAATTCTTGAAACACATCTCCTAAATGGGCAATAAAATTTCCCCAACCTCCTGCCTCCCATAATTATGTACTGTACTGTCCTTTTCAATGGAGCTAGCAGTTCTGTGACAGATTTTTTAAATTCACCCTCATGTTATCAGCTATTATTGTACTTTCAAAGTGTGAAATTGACAAGCTGGTCAGTTTCATGAATTCAGCTGTCAGATTGTGTCCAGTTAAAAATTGCTAAAAGCTGTAAATGTGCCTGTCTGGAATTTTCTTTGTGAAGGAAAGACACAGGGGATAGAGGATTAAAGGGTGTTATTAATTGTAAATATTTTAAAGTGGATGCTGTTGTAGAAAACACATTTGAGATTTCTATAACTACAAAAGTGTCATTTGGATTCGTCTATGTGATTTCAAATAACGAACACTTATTATAAAACCCTTAGTAATGTTGATGCATTAGAAATGGGATTCAAATAGGAAAGGTGGATTTTTAAGGCATTTTAAGGATGTTGGGTGAGATACTACTTTCTAATGACATGTAAAGAAGCAAATGTGTCAACTATTCTATTGTGGCGGTTATATGTCAAAAATTCTTGGGCCAGTGAAGTTGGACAATTAATATAGGCAGTGAAATGCAAACATACACATATATGGATGTGGGTGTGTAGGTAATTATAGGTGCAAAACTGCTTAAAATAATATATACCATGACTTGAAATACCTTTTAAGATGGATACTCATTTAAAACCAAACTACCCCCAAAACTAGAACTAAAAATTGAATTCCCCTCAACTGCTGCTATTTGCTAAGCCACTAGGGGCCTGTATAACTGTTCTTATATTCAGGAGACACCCTGCTATGGCTTACACAAATCCTTCCTAGAGAGACATTTAAGAAAAATTCAAGTAGGTAGTTCCCTAATTTCTTTTCTTTTCTTTTTTTTTTTTTAAAAAAAAGAACAGCCCATGCTCTGATGTTAGCTGTGAATGCTAATTGAAGAATATTTCAAGAATTTGTCTTACTTCTTCTATGACACTATAGTGGTATTAGGATAATTTTTTTTTTTATAAAGTGCCTGAAACAAACAAACAAAAAAAAAAAAAAAAAAACCACACATGCAGATTCTTATCTGACGCCTATTTCTTAGTGTATGGTAAAATTAAACAAGAAAAAAACATAAACAACTACTCCTAATTGGTCTGATAAGATAAGGTTTGCATAATGCAGGGTTAGGCGATGAACGAAGCAGAGTTACTTTACAGGAAGTGTAATTGATGGTGTGATTACATTGGTTTCCTAAGTGCTGTGCACGTTTGTGTAGAAGGGGACTCTGAAGCTCTGAGTGTAGTTCAGACAGCACTTGAGGGAACTGAACTGAGGTGCATTATATATTTTTAAGTGTCAGTTTCACAAATTTGAAATCGTTCAACTGTGCCAATCCTGATGACATTAGACAGTAAGGTCAGGTCTACTTACACTGATCTTTTGTTGATTTTCAGTTTTTTAAACTGACATGGGCAATTCTTTGTAGGGGAGCATGCTGTAAATATATGCATATTGGATTCCTTTAAACCTATTTAATTTATCATGCTGCTGGAAAAAAAAATCTGTATTCTAAAGGATTCCATTGGTAAATGAAGAATTATCCAGCACCTTTTCATATGAAAGATGCCACCCTAAGGAAGATGGGTTCTTCAAGGTGTTTTTTTCTTTAAGCACACCTCTTTAATTCAGTATGTTTCCATGGGTAGTCTATAGTTGTAACTAGTTTGTTTCTTGAGGGGATTAAACTTTTTAAAGGCTATTATCTTTAATATCTATACCAATGCCTCTTGGTCCTATACCCAAAAGTTTTTTGGAAAGAACTTTACCTTTGATATAGAATACTGAATCTGGTGGCTACAAAATATATTTACAGTTACCAATGCACATATTTAAGGTATTAATTGTAAAGATAATAGTATTCAGTTTCCTAAAAGATTCATTGAATTTTGATTTGTCCTATTTGTAAAATAACCATCAGTTTTAATTGAGAAGGTCAGCATGAGTAAGTAAGATTGTGTTAAACCAGGTTTACTGCGAATCTCTTGCTGCCTCATGGATTTTATTTAACTTTTCTGTGCTTAATCCTTGCACTGTTAAGTCTCTTGGAGAAAGTCGCCTAGGAAAGCTGTGTAATTGTGATGGCACAAAGGTAATTTGCAGCCTCGAGCAAAATCAGTGCTTTAAAACCTTCTGTTTTATATTATCTCTGATTTGCCAAGAAATACCAAAGAGAGGGACTATTCTCTGTAGACAATGAGACTGAGGATCCCTTATAATAGTACTTCATCTGAAGCAGTCTGTTAATCTGGAAGGAGATTGCCTAGATAGTATTTGCCAGCGACTTCCACTGAGCAGGCATCATTTGCCTAAGTGTCTGTGGTTTTATAACACAGTGACATTTCTACCAAAGGACAGTTTTGTTTGGGATTTTCTCTATGGGTAATCCCATTTGCTTCTAATCAGGAGTTGGTAATGCTTGCTAAAACATCATACTTGGCTTGAGTATGTTTCAACAAGGAAAGTGTACACATTTCCCTTCTATTTTTTTTTTTTTATAAAAAGGAAGAGTATATTTTAGGCCTTCACAGTTAAGCTCTCAGGGAGGACAACTAAAGGAATACATGGCTTACGTTTACTGATTTCTCATCTTATAAAATTATAGCATCCAATAGCATCCAGTGTAAAAGTTGAGAATTTCCTTTGTGTAATAAGTCTTGGCAAGGTCAAAGAGCAAATGTTGGTATGTTGTGGTAGTCACTGACCTAAAGTAACCTAAATAATAATGCCGTGACCAAACTGTGAAGCTGGTGCACAATGAGGCAGTATTCTTTACCAGGCAGGCACATGCCATGAAATTACCTTGAAGTGTTATGTTCCTTTTTTCCCGTTTAACAAATGACCCATGATTTTTAAAATCAGCAACTAGCTGATTGATTTCATTTAATTCATAGTTAATATTTTATTAATAAAATACCTTTAAGACCTGGGCATTAAGACTTGGCATTAAATAACTTAAATTACTGTTTGTTCATATTGCCACACTTGTCAGAGCAACTCATGAGAGAAAAATGGCCCAAGATGATGCCTGCTGCAGTGTCCCCCCTCAAGAAAATTCAGTGGCCGATAGTAAATAGTTTCTATTTGATACTGATATGTTTAATTAGTCTATATTAATATTTTTATAAAGAAAGCCTTCTGTGGCTCTTTAACCATGTTCTTCTGTTCCCTAAATTAAATTTCTGTATGTTACAAGCACTGAAATGCCAAAAATTGACAATTTGGAAAGGAAAGGCAGCTTATCCTGTCTGCAAGGTCAGGATAGGGACACAGGACCAACCACTTAAGTGTGCTTCTCTCCTCACCTGTGGAGATCAAGCCCTGCTTTGCTCTACAAATGGCTGTGAGTGGTTGCTGCAGGCACTTGCATGGGCTTCAGGCAGTGACAACAACATTAAGACCTGAGTCCCAAACCCAGCACCATCTGAGTCTAGGCTTTGTGTTAGTGCTTTGGGCTCATTGACCAGGACATGCTGCCTCACTTTGCTGAAGGTTTGACCTTCGGATAACAATGCCAGGAGCTTCCTAGCCTTTCTCATCGCTGTTTACTGGCTATAACATTCTTAAGTCTGTCAGTGTCTTCACATTAATTGAACTTAAAAACTCTTAATTGTCTTTAAACAATAACAACAACAACAACAACAAAAAAAAAACATAGCCTTTG